TTGGATTCTTATTACCCAAGTTACTAAGAATATTACCAGTGGCATACAGGGAGCTTAGACAATGAGCGGTCAGAAAAGGTGTTTCCTTTGTAGTTCACACCGATCACCGCTCAGCCCCTGCCCAGGCCTAAAGCCTCTGACTGAGGCTTTAGGCCTGGGCAGGGGACCCCAGCTCCCTCCGGATGGTCAGCCCAATGGCTGGCTCCCCGCAGCTCCGATGGCCGGCTCTGCCCCTGCCCAGGCCTAAAGCCTATGGTTGAGGCTTTAGGCCTGGGCAGGGTTCCCCTGGCTCTGTTTGCAGGCTCGGCCCTGCCCAGGAGCCCCCTGGCTCAGGCCCTTCCTAGGCTGCTCAGGGCCCACACGGGGCCTACCTCGGAGTGACCTGGGTGCCGATACTGTTCCCAGGATGCTGGGCGCCTACATATGCAAATTAACCGCCATCTTTGTTGGGTTAATTTGCATACTCGGCTGATTGGCTGGTGGGAGTAGTGGAGTGACACCAATCTGCATGTTTCTCTTTTATTAGTGTAGATTGCGACTTAATTTGAAGTCTTGTAAGTGCTGCGTCTGCTTACCTCCGGCTCACCCACAGCCCATACCGGGAAATGCCTTCAGTCCTGGGAGGAGCAGGTGCTGAGTCAGCATGACCTCGCGCCTCCTGAGAGGGGCGGGGCCAGAGAAACACTGGCTGGCGCTGTCCCCACGGTCACCTGCAGGGCACATGCACCCGTTCCCCACAGGGATCCACATTCACATAGAAATATCATACTCAGTAGCGCACTGGAGGAAGTTTGGGGACACATTTTTCTTTTTCTTTATATTTTTATTGATTTCAGAGCGGAAGGGAGAGGCAGCGAGAGAGAAAAACATCAGTGATGAGAGAGGATCATGGATCGGCTGCCTCCTGCACGCCCCACACTGGGGATCGAGCCCACAACCCAGGCATGTGCCCTGGAATCAAACCATGACCTTCTGGTTCATAGGCTGACGCTCAACCACTGAGCCACGCCGGCCAGGCACATTTTTATAGAATAGCCCCCAATTCTTACACATGAGCTCAGTGTGAAAAGTACTGTGAAGGAGTAGGTATTATTAAGGATTATTAATCAGGAAAGTAAGAGGCAGGCCACATTTCTATCAAGTATCAGAACTTCTGTGCTGTCTAGATTTTTTAACTGGCACTGGTACAGTTTTACTCCTGGGAAAGATGCCATGAAATGGGCCTTCGTTTTCTGGTTTGGAAATCTCATCCCTAAGTCAGGTGTTCAGAAATAAGGGTAGGAGCACAAACCCGCCAGTTCTTTTCAGCTGCTGTGCAGCTATTCTGTTAATAATGGGTGGCCAGGCACAGCCGTAGGGGAGCATGTTCACCTGAGGTTAGTTAGCCCACTCACCTGACTACACTGACAGCCTCCAACATACCTCCTTTATAACTTCTTTTAAAATCTCTGAGTGATTGTATTTAAAAATATTTTATGTTCTTCAATTGAATGTAAGTAACCTGAAATCATTAAAGGAGAGTAGTGTGGCATAATTTAGATATTATCTAAACCTAATCTTTTTCTTTCTTTGTTTACTGGATGTGTTCTTCTTTTTCTTTCTTTTTTATAGCCCAAAACAGCTAAATCACACTCAAAGACAAAAGACAGTGATGAACCTCATCGCTCTAAGAATGACAGGCCTGCACGGTAAGTTGATACCCACAGCAGAGAGTGAGGACTTGACTTTTCCGAGAGTGAGGAGATGTTGTTGCCTGAGGGGCGTGTTTGTTCTTTGGGGAGGAGATCCATCCAGGCTTCTGCCATTGAGGTGATATCAAGTCTTGCAGGGTATTCTCAAACTTTTGTTTCCAGTCTTTTAAATTGAGTTTGAACAAATCAAATCAGAAAGACAGGGAATTTCACCAAAGCTGGGGCATAGAAAGGAAGGATGTGCTTTTTGTTAGGACCAGTTCTTGCCTCTGTCATCTGAACTGATGCCCTCAGCTAAGAAGAGACGAGGTTAAACTGTTTCCTAAAATCTCAGGTTTTAATTTTTTACTGAGGTTCATGATCACATTGGTGGAGTCCTGACATTTACACATGCTTAAATTCATTTTTGTGTGAGTCTCAGCATCCTAGGCAAATACTCCCTTGAGTCATTGCAGACTGTTCTAAATCCCACCAGGTCAAATGACTGTGGATGTGGGATATGTACTTTCTGACTTCTCTCAAGCAGTCTTAGGTCAGAATAATGGAGCAGCTGCTGTCTTTCCACCTCAAGTTGTCAGCCTCTAGGTCTCTGGGGAAGCAACCTTTTCTTTTTTCTTCATTGCTTTCTGTTGCTTTTCAAAAGAAAATATGATTGGAATAGGAGTAGAGAACATCCTATCTAATAAAGAGGGAATATGCTAATTGACACTCACACCATTGCAAAGATGGCGGTGCCCACAGCCAATAAGGAGGGAATATGCTAATTGACTGCCACGCCCTCAAAGATGGCAGCGCCCACAGCCACAAGATGGCGGAACCCAGTCTCCTCAGCCCCGCCTTGCCACACACCTGCCTCCAGAGTTCCCCAGTCCCCTCAGCCCCCCAGCCTCCCAGGGCCGGCCCGAGGTGTAGGCAAGCCTCAGATGTTGGCTGCCCAGCCGCCTAGGGCTGCCCGAGGCTCAGGTAACCAGGGCTGGTCGAGGCTTGCGCTGCCAGCAGTGGCAGCAGCAGAGGTGTGACGGGGCATTGTCTTCCCCTGATCGCTGGGTTGCCTCCGCCCCTGAGGGCTCCTGGACTGTGAGAGGGGGCAGGCCAGGCTGAGGGACACCCCCTCCAGTGCATGAATTTTCATGCACTGGGCCTCTAGTGAAATATAAAAAGACAATAACACTAAGTGTGACATTTTGAGAACTCTTAATTATTAGAACCTTGAATTTTGGTCCGATTTCTAATAATATATTTATTTTTAAAACGTAAGATTTATTACACTGAAAACATACACTGTTGTTGCCATTTATTGCCCACAAACTGCTCAGCTAGTTTCCTTAAAGTGAATGTATTTCGTAATCTTTAAAACCCATCCTCTATTTTTAAACTCAAGGCCTACAGAAGATAAATACCCTTTAGAAAATTTTATCAGGTTTGTAAAGCTCTTAGTGCAACAGTGGTGTAGTTTATCTAATCACACAAAATAAGTTATTCTTGTAGCTTTTAGTTAAGCACATGCCAAACAATTTTTAAAGCAGATTTTAGTACTACATGGTTTAGTTTTATTTACATCCCTAAAATATCCAAGTAAAATAACAGCTAACTAATCTGTTCTCAGTAGGTCCTTAGATGTAGGTCATGCTTTTTTTAGTCAAGTGAATTAAAATCTTTAGGGTTATTTTGCCATCTTGAAAGTCCATGGGCTCTTTAAAACAGTAATATCTTTATAGCAGATAATGTAGAACAATCAGGAATGGCCATTAAGAAGGTTTATTAAAGTTGAAAACAACTTTTTGGAATGTAATAGACACTCTTAAAAATATTTGGCATATTGTAAGAATAAATAATCAAATGAACATGTATTAAAAATGGCTCTTTTTTATTTTTTAAATTTTTATTGATTAAGGTATTACAAATGTGTCTTTATCCCCCCATTGTCCCCTCATCCCCCTAGTCCTGCCCTCACCCTCATCCCCTGTTGTCTGTGTCCATTGGTTAGGCTTATATGCATGCATACAAGTCCTTTGGTTGATCTCTCCCCCTTACTCCCACCCTCCCCTACCTTCCCTCTGAGGTTTGAGCATCTGATAGAAAAATGGCTCTTATAAATAAGTGAAAAGTTACATAAGACTAATAAAACTGAAATCTTATTTGACCAGAGAGGAACATTTATCTTTAAATATCATTTACACAAAGATCATATATATATGACAAAACAAAAATGAAGGATTTTATGTAACCTGTATGTTCCCAGTTAAAAATTAAAGCCTGTTATCTTGGTGCTGTCTGTGCAACTAATATCAGAGTGTATGCTTTCTGGTTAGAATCTATGTATTCCTCTTTCAAAATTAATGGTATTCCTGGCCGGGTTGCTCAGTTGGTTCAAGTGTTGTCCTGTACACCAAAAAGTTTCAGGTTTGATGCCCAGTTGAGGCGCATACAGGAGGCAACCAATTGATGTTTCTCTTTCATATTGATCTCCCTCTCCCTCTCCCTCCCTTCCTCCCTTTCCCTTTTTCTCTCTCTAAAATCAATAAAAATATGTCCTCAGGTGTGGATTAAAAAAAAATAGTCATAGTAGAAACGTTTAGCCATTTGTATAGAAAGAAATGGTTTCAAGGATTGAAAACCGTGGATCTGCGTAGGTCAAGATGTTTATTTCAGTGCAGCAATGATAGTAGCAGAGGGGATGCAGAGTCTCAGAGCTTGCAGCATTTATGCTCAAAAGTCAATTTCTCTGTCTAAGATTTTCTACTCTTTCTAAAGAAATAGAGAACCAGTTGGCAATCTGAATGAATTATACCACTTTGTAATTGGAAAAAGTTTCAACCCAAGTTCCAAATTCTTTTAACTACAGCATTTTATAGTGGTAGTACTACTTGGTATTTTATTTTTCTCTGTAGTTTTGAATGAAGACACAGCCACTAATACAAACCTCTGTGGCAGAGCATAGTATGGTGGTTAAGAGCACTGGTTTTGAAGTCCATGTGAGTTTGAGCCCTGTCTGCCACTTAACAATTGTGTGAACTTGGACAGATCACTTACCTCATCTTATCTAATCTGACTCTAAAATATGTGTATGATAGCTACTATGCAGGCTTAGCTTCAAAGTTAATTAATTGAGATATATTCATATAAAATCTATAGTGGAGTCCTTACTATATATATAAGTTTACATCCCTTGCTGACCTCTTGTAGATACTGAATATACAGGCGAGGCCTACCGCTTGGGGACAGGGTGAGAAATTTGAAAACACTTGCATTTATTTTTATATGACAGAGACCATTGTACCTAACTAACTGTAACTTTCCAAACTTCAGACTACTTATGCCTTCCAGATTGTATATTTAGTTCACAAAATATCCTACAACATGGTTATATGTTGACAAATCTTAACCTTATGTGGTTCCATAATTTAATGCAACATTTGAGTATACCTTTGGGAAACAATGGAAAATAAGAGATTCTATTCTTCATCTTCATTAAAGCCAAATGTTTGCAAAAATCTGTGTTACATGATTAAAATAATAAAAAGTTTAGAGCAGTACAAATTTTCCAATGTTTTTTTCCAATGTTTTCTTTTGACTTGAAAAGTTGCCAATATATGACTGCCTTTTCCTTCTCTAAGCTCTCCTTTGCCACCTAGTGGATTAAATAATTTTGCAGTAAATTTTGTGTGTTAAAACAATGTCCCTTCTCTTCCCCTCTCCTTGGTCCTTCCTTATCTTTCTTTATTACTTTCTTCATTTCTATTCTTTTCTGTCTTCCTCTTTTTCTTCGTAAAACCTGCCAAAACAAAGTAAATTTTTCATTAGGGACAGTGGTCACATCACATTAATCTTTGTTTCTCTAGTTCTTAGCATAACGCTTCACACATAATGGGTATTCAAAAATATGCATTTTTATTGAACTATGTGCATAAAAATAAAGGAACAATAAGATAAAATAATTTATCCAAGGTCATGCAACTGGCCAGGAACTAAAGTGAGAATTCTCAAACATTCTGACTTTGCATTTGTACCGAAAATGTTTTTACCATGTGATCCAATGAGCAGTAGAATTGTAGTCACCAGCACTTAGAATATCTCTAAATTCAGACCTCCCTCCAGGCCGCCACCACCTACCATGACAGATGCTGAGGATTTGGATTACACTTATTCCACACGTCATTTCTCAAAATCAGAGTCCTCTCATAAAGGTAAGAAAAATATATATGGTCAAGTGTAGGATCTTTTTAAGTAATCCTTGTGTTATGGTGGAAAAATCAAATGCTGGCTTATAGATCACTAGAGTGGAAAAATTAGTTCTCCTTCCTCTCCGCAGAGCATTATAATATTCTTCATTTAGTAAAGATAATTTTTAAAAATACAGAAACAAAACACCTTAAATTGAATGCAAGATTTTCTTATGTATTTCCATTCTCCTGCAGAGAGTTTTCATTGCTTTCATCAGATTCTTAAAGGGTAACTATGGCCACAATTTAGATTTCCTGGGATTTTTGTGTTTTAGCTTTTATTCCCATCTGCCCAAAACTCTAGTTATTGGAGTTAAAAGTACACACATGTATACACACAGCACATAAAACACTTATGCAAAAGAAAAATGGGACAAAGAAAATGAGGAAAGAATATGAGATTTAAGTTGGACCAGATCTTTAAAATGAAAGGAATGGTTGAAATGGTTGAATGTAGTTCTTTAAAGCATATGCATTCACTAAAGTGTATTTTTAAGATAGTCTAAAATGAGATAATGAAATACTTTCTTACATTAATTTCCTCATCTAAAAATGGAGGTGATTTTAATAGTATCTGTGTTGTTAGAGTCATATAAGTAAAATATCTGAAAGCAGATTGCAGTTGACTTGCTAGATATTGATGTTTATTATTTCTTATGGTTTCTTCAAAGATTTATTAGGTAATGTTTTTATTATCCTTTTCCAGATCTAACTTTCCCAAACATCTTTAACTTTTTTTTTTGCAGTCATTACAAAATTCCAATGTATAGGTGCCACTCCAAACCAATTACATAAGAATTTCAAGGGGAGGGAGGTTGCTAGTAATTGGTATTTTTTAAAGCTCTTTTGCCCCCAACCCCTCCATTCTGATAATCATCTAATGTTGAAAATAAGACAAAAGACATTATTTAAAAGATGGGATTAGTTGGACTTTATCAAAACAACCTATAAATTACAATTCCCATTCTTTGGTGGCCTTTTTACCATCCTTGGTTTAATGGGAAGTAGCTAATGATTTCTTTTTTCCTTAAACTATAAACCTGCATTACTTTTAAGGGGTATCTTTCTGTTCTCAACATATATTTAGTACATAATATTAAAATAATACATTGATTCTTTTTTTAAAAGAATATTTTTATTGATTTCAGAGAGGAAGGGAGAGGGAGAGAGACAGAAATATCAATGATGAGAGAAAAACATTGATCAGCTGCCTCCTGCATTTGCCCCACACTGGGGATCAAGACTGCAACCTGACTATGAATAGAACCATGACCTCCGGGTTCATAGGTTGACTCTCAACCAAGGAGCCACATGGGCCGGGCTACCACATTGATTCCTTATGTAAATATTTTGTAATCAAGAACAAAGAAAATATGATTCACTTGAAATACATATAAATAAAGATAAATAATTATGCTTAAGCAGGGAGAAAAACTGAGTTTCAAGGTTTATAATTTTTTATTTTTTAAAGTATTTTTAATTATAGTTGACATACAATGCTATATTAGTATCAGGTGTACTACATAGTGATTAGACATTTATTTAACTTACCAAGTGATCACCTCAATAAGTATAGTTCCCATCTGATAATATGAATAGTTATTAAAATATTATTGACTATATTTCCTGTATTGTACTTTAATCCTTGTGACTATTTTTTATAATTGCCAACTTGTACATCTTAATCCCTTTACCTTTTTCACCCAATCTCTCAACCTCCTCCCATCTTGCAATCATCAATTTGTTCTCTGGATCTCTGAGTTTGTTTCTGCTTTACTTTGTTTTTTAGATTCCACATATAAGTGAAATCATATAGTATTTGTTTCACTCTGTCAGATTTATTTCACTTAGCATAATACCCTCTAGGTCCACCCATGTTGTCCCAAATGGCGAGATTTCTTATTGAATTGTATATATGTACTACAGCTTTTTAATCTACTTGTCTATAGATGTACACTTTGGTTGCTTTCATATCTTGACTATTGTAAATAATGCTGCAGTGAATATAGGGTTATGTATATTTTTTTCAAATTGATGGTTTGGTTTCTTTGGGTAAATACCCCAAAGTGGAATTGCTCCATCTGTGGTAATTAACTTTTTGAGGAATCTCCATGTTGTTTTCCATAGTGGCTGCACCAATCTTCATTCCCACCAACAGTGCATGAGGGTTCTCTTTTCTTCCCCTCTTCGCCAACACTTGTTTGATGATTTATTGATGATAGCTATTCTAACAGGTATATGAGGTGATATCTCATTGTGGTTTTAAATTGCATTTCTCTTATGATTAATGATGTTGAGCATCTTTTCAGATGTCTATTGGCCATCTGAATGACCTCTTTGGAGAAGTGTCTGTTCAGGTCCTCTGCCCATTTTTAAATTGGAGTATTTGTTTTCATGGTGTTAAGTTGTTTGACTTTCTTATTATATATTTTGGATGTTAACCCCTTATGAGATGTATCATTGGCAAAGATTTTCTCTTCATTCAGTAGGTTGTCTTTTTCTTTTTGTTGATGGTTTTCTTCATTGTGCAAAACCTATTTACTTTGATGTAGTCCCATTTTTTTATTTTTTTTTATTTTGTTTCCTTTGCTTAAGGACACATATCCAAAAAAGAAAATATTGCTAAGAATGATATCAAAGAGTTTACTGCCTATGTTTTCTTTTAGGAGTTTTATAGTCTCCAATCTTTACATTTAAGTCATCAATCCATTTTGAAGTTATTCTTGTATATGGTGTAAGAAAGTGATGTCGTTTCATTCTTTTTCATTTATCTGTCCAATTCTCCCAACACCATTTATTGAAGAGACTGTCTTTATCCCAATGTATATCCTTGCCTCTGTTGTTATAGAGGAATTGACCCATATAACCATGGATTTATTTCTGGGGTCTCTATTCTGTTACATTGATCCATACATCTGTTTTTATGCAGTACCATAATGTTTTGATTACTATAGCCCTGTAATATAGTTTGATATCTGATAGTATGCTACCTCTAACTTTGTTCTTTTTCTCTAAGAGTTTGCTTTGGCTATTTGGGGTATTTTGTGGTTCCGTATAAATTTTAGGATTCTTTGATTTAGTTCTGTGAAAAATGCCATTGGTATTTTGATAGGGATTGCATTGAATCTGTTAATTGCTTATTTTATTTTTATTTTTTCCATAAACCTATGTTTATTGATTGCACAATGGTAAATCACTGAGCAATGAATCAAATCCTAAGAATGACATTATAACATTATTAAATTATCTATAAAAATTACTTATTTAAACTACTGTGGTTTTTTATAAGATACTGTTACAGATCAAATATATTCACATTTTTTTTCTTTTTCCCCCCTTGACCTCTCCCTACCCACCCTCACCTCCTTGCTTATTTTCAAAGATTTTTTTTTCTTAATGTTGTTTCTTCTTTTTTTCTCTCTTCCCCAGGCTTCCATTATAAGCAGTAAAAACCTACGAATCTGCCTTGAAAACGGACTCACTGTAGCAAATATTACTGGATGATGCAGAATGCATTCCACATTTATTTTTTCCTCCTATGTTTGTACTCCTGGGATTTATCCTAAAGGGTTTTTCTGACCATAAATAATTTTAATGCATTTAAAATGTTTTGGTTATTTCTGATCACTTGGGCAGTACAAGAAAATCTAGCTTCTGAATATTGACCACCTCTACACTGCTTATACTTCCATGGATACAGTGTCTAAGAGATCTATAAAATGCCATTTTTTCTTAGGTATGAAATATTGGTATCTAGGGAGTATACTTTACTTAGCAATTAGAATTTAGTGAAGATATGATCAAGGTAAATAAAACAATGTTTGGATGAAATGGAGAATAGAAGAATGTAAGAAACAGTTGTTTTGGGGTTCATTAGTATATGGTATATTAAAAGAGCCTTTTGCTTTTTGTACTTTTTAGGAAAAGAAAAAAAAATCACAACCATAAAGTATTTTAAAAAGATCATACCTGGAACAATTAAAATGTGTTATTCTGACTATAGAGATTTTGCAGATACTTATACACACCCTCCAGGGAAAATTGACCTAGATGGCATTCTCTAACACTTTCTTGCTATTGCTTCATCAATAGGTCGAGACTTCTGAAGCCTCTGGGCATTGCACATTGATTAGTATTAATTGGAAAAAATTAATTCTATAATATCCTAACTCAGGTCTGTGTAAAGTCAACTAAAAATGAAAACTTTCTATCCCTTCTCTTATTTTACATTCCTTTATATAGCCAAGGCAAGTGGAATTGAAAGAGGTGTTTATAAATGATGATTTCATCATCCTCTCTGGCCATAGATAGAAGTTTTCCTCTTGCGTAAAACACATAACAATATTTGTTGACAACCTCAAAAATATTTTATGTACTTCTCAATAAATAGATAATTCAACATCAAGTCGAAATTAATAAAGTACTTCTTTATGCATGTATTTAGTTCTACACATCGTTAATGATATATGGTCATTGGATCCTTTATACAAGACCTTAAACTCCTCTTCAAGAAATAGTCTTTGTCTAACTTCAAACCTTATGGAAATGCTTATTTTCCTATACTAGTTAGTTAACACAAATGTCAATCTCACACACAAACACACACACACACACACACACACATATATATATATACGTATATATATGTGTGTGTAATATCCCTTCAACTTGACTGCCTATAATTTTTCATGGTATGAATCTGACGTTTTTGGCATTCTAGTACGGTTTTTGTTTAGGAAAGAAATGTGTAGGTGACTAGAAAAAAGTTCGTAACCCATTCTTTTCCCATTGGGAAATGCCTTCAGTTTGCCTTATCTTTCTGGATAGACTTTAAAGTCAGGCAATATTCAGGAAAAGCTATTAAGAGTAGTTTTGAGAGTGGATGTGGGTGTTTCATTTTGAGAAGGGTCTTTAGTTTCAGAAAGTGTTTGGATTGTAAGAATTTGGGCAAAAGGTGTCTAAGAGTTAACTTTGAGGAGAATGATAAAGAAACAAAACCCTAAGGGAGGTAGTTACTTCAGAGAAATGGGGAAAGGCAAAATAACAGGACTTTGAATGGCCATGATGAAATGCATGAATAAAAGCCTTCATTTAGCCAATGGCAAACAAAATGGGGTCCTGGCCTTAAGTCCAATTGCAGAGAGGGTGGTTTCAATATCCAAAGCTTAGGCCTTGTTGACTTACATTGTTTTTTGTCTGCCCTGTGATTTTGCTTCATATTTTAAAAAGTTTTTATGGTAGCTTTAAAGAAAAAAACAATAACAGTGTTTTTTTTATTTGATAATTAAGCAAATGAGCAATATCATTTGCCATATTTTTATTTTATAAATGTTTATTTTTATATCTCATGCAATGATCAGTTTTACTTTTTAAATTCTGCATTCCTCTTGCTTCTCATGTACTTTATTCAATTGTATTTATTATTATGAAATGCTAACTGGATATATTTCCTTCAAAACTGTCAGGCCACTTAACACTTAACCAGAATGTTAGTGTTTCAACTGTCTTAGTGAGTGACCAAAGGTGATATTTCCTTTGTGACACTCAATTCAACATCTGTATTGAAAATTTGATTTTTTTAAGGTTTTTAAATGATTGGTTTTTTAGAATATTTTAATTTAACTTAATTTTTTTTATAAAGCAAACACTCTTTTTAAAGCATATCAGAGTAATTCTTTCCCTGTGAATAAGGAGACAGAAATCAAACTCAACCAGCTAAATCCTCTTATTCTCATTCAAATAATGTAATTAGCTTTGAGACTATAAAAGCAACTAACAATGGTATTTTAAGGAACTGCCAAACATTCTTCACTATATTCTCTGCTTTACACTGTGTCATTTCTATATAAATGTGGAAGCATTTATTTTTTTCCTGTTCCTACTGCTGGAACACAGGCAACTTAATTTTTAGGCCCACAATGTATTATGCTTTAATGTTGTGATGTAAACAAATGCTTCTGGCCTTGGAAAATTTTTCTGTTTCTATACCTCTGTTCTCTGGAGGCCAGGCTCTATTAGCACCAGTATTGCTGAATGAGCACAATGTGTTAAGGAGCCTTATACTGGACAGATAACAGCCCCTTCCCCCAGCCTAACTTTTGTTGTAAGTCATTGCCTAGTAGCAAAGCGAGATATGGTCAGCTTAAATGTTCTGAGTTGAAAAAAAAATTTTTTTTGATTCTAGTGTCAAACCACCATCAGCCATATTATTTTTATTGGGAGACTAGACAGTTGCTACACTCACTTTAAGAAAACACTGAGATTTTTAGAAAGGCACTTTGCATACCATCAAATTTCTGTTCCTCAAATGTCTTTACAATAACCAGCAATGAACAGTCTAATGAATGGCAAGAAAGACTATATGTCTTTTGATCATAGAAACATGTGAATTAGAAGAGAAAGATATGGATAGTTGCTCCCAGGAGGAAAACTTTTCAGAATGGCAGTGACCACTTGGATCTAGATCAACATATTCCGCAATGGGTGATATTTGGCCTTGTGTTCCATAGAACTCACAAAGAACATTATGAACTGGACCCATTTTCCCTTTTCTTCTCTACTGTGGCCTGAAGCCGAACTTGGATGATGAATATTGATTGCTGACTTTGACCATACCTTTCCCTCAATATCAGGACTTTCTGGTGTAAAAATAATGAACTTTTAACTGATAATTATTTTTATTTTAATACTGTCAAATATTCTTTAAATTTGTCTTGTGCCAACTTGTTCTTTGGAAACACCTGTTATAATATGGTGCATTCAGTTTACCATAGAGCCTTGATTTTTAATGAGTGTTGCCTTTGTATAAAAACCACTTTGGGGAATATCAAGATTATTTATTTATTCAGTGATAATTTCCTTAAAAGCTAACTGTGGTGATTGGCTGTAAGATCTTCAGCCAAGTAAAGGAACAAGTAATCAGCTTTTGGGGGGACTGAGAACAGAATAGAACTTGCATTCAAAGACTTCTTTCCCTTTTGGGAAAACAGCAGTTGTGTAGGGAATGGTCACGTGGGAAGTGAACACGAACACTGATCAGTTAGACTCCCCTGTACATAGTGTGCCACAGTTGTGTAGGGAATGGTCACGTGGGAAGTAAACACTGATCAGTTAGACTCCCCTGTACATAGTGTGCCATATTCTGATAGCATTGGCTTTTTAGAAACAATCATAAAAAAATAAAAACCTGTTCTTTTAGCTAAAAGGAAAAAACAGGTTTTTAAAGTACTTTGTTCATTCCTTACTGCTCTTAGTCAGAGAAGTGACTAGATAAATGGTCCCATTTTCTCTTCACATCTGGTGGTGCCTGTGAGTCTTAAAGCCATAACTGCTTATCTTCCTATTGATAGAATCCCGTTTTCCCCTTAGCCCACAATAGGTAATATGGGCAGGGAGAAGCAAACTGGAGACTGTCCTGATAAAGCTGCATGAGGCACAAAGTCATCCAAATTCCTAGTGGAAGAACCTTTGCTCCCTGATCATTACAGGGATGAGTCAAGGCTGTTGTTGCGCTTGCCATTTAACTGTTGTTGGAAATGTTGAAATTTAATTGTGGAGAAGTCAAGAAGGAAGAGGTAAACTGGGACAATCTCACTTCTACAGTCACTTTTCTGATGAGACCTGCACTTTATGTCAGCAATGTCTGAGGAGCAGTATTGCCTTAAATTAATTTGATTCCAATCGAGGTCAGAGTATTGTACTTCTTAACATGTAAATGACTGTCAACTCTCCATTGAGATATAAAATTCACAGGTGATCCCCAAACATTTTTGCCATGAGGAGCTTTGGACCTCCTTCCACTGAGCTATGGGTAACCTATACACTGACAGGTAGATACATCATTTCATTTCAAGTTGCCTCTCTGTCTGTGGATGAGCAGTGGCATGATCAAAAAGGCTGGTAGAAGTTCCAGGCCAGATCCTTCAGGTTATCACTTCCTGAATAATTGGGAGTTGACTGTCTTTCCCCATTATGACTATGTAGAAGGTATTTCTAAAGGTTCTATTATGCATTGAAGTCAATTCATTATTGTTTTATAAGAATTTCATCAACACTCTTATGTATTGAAATGCATACTGTTAACAACAAAAAGAGAAAACTGAACAAAATAGAGACCTTTACTTGAAATTGGAGATTTATTGGTGTGAAGAATCTTCTGGTTTATTTCTTTTAACAGAAAATTTACCAGGAAGACTTCTGCTATCATAGGGAAGACACCAGAGTTTTTTTTAAAGGTTATTTCTGATGCCACAAACACACATAATCATCTAAATAATCATGTTGGTTTGGAAATACCTAGTCCTAAAAACCACTCTTTCCCTTATAAATTTGTGAAAACTGCCTAGAAACATGTTCCTAGTAGATTTAGTATGCATTTGTGTATTTTCAGCAAACTAGAAATGTTCTTTTCCTTTTGAGTACCTCTTCATTGCATAGGGAGCCAGCACTACGCTGGTTTTAGCATTTCAGATAAGGACAGAATTAATTGTATAACTCAGTGCCCCATTACTTATTGCTGAGGTTCACGTGTAAAGAATAGAAGAATTGAAAGACAGTTTGAGTGACATTTCCTTCACAAAAGAGGAAGGATTAAAAACAGCGAAGAAGTTGAGAATATCCTGTTACTCATCATATGCTTGGGATATGTTTTTGTTGCACTGAATTTCAGACCATCATTGCTAAAATAGCTTCTAGCTGTTAAATTTAGTAAGAGGGTTTTTGATGTCACAATATTTTTAGAATTTCTGGTTGAATTAGTCTCTGAAGTCCCTGCAGGTTGTAACTTCAACTCTTGCTATAAACCGAAAGTCCACTGCCCTTCCTCAGAAATAGCTGTATTTTTCATCTGCCTCTTCAGGGCAACCCAATATTTATTTCATGAAGTATTGTAAATAAGGATGAGGTATAGTGGGAAGATAGCATATAAAAGTGATGATCCAAAATGAGAATTCTCTGGAATGGTGTTTTCCTTACGAAGAATCCATCCCAGCACAATATTATATTTTGAAAGGTGCTGAATTATAAAGTACAGGAGAGCTCATATAAATCAAGTTGCTCAGGAAATGTGAGGTGGTGCTGTCATTTGTCTTACAATTTGGAAGAGTGCTCTTTTGAGAGAGATCCTGCATGGTACCCAGGCATTTTCAGATTCATTGGTAAGAAACCTTTTGACATTGTAAATATGTTTAAACTTGTGAGACGTTATCCCAAGTGCTGGTCAGTTTGTATCCAAGCCCCAGAGAGAACGTCAGCTTTAAAATAGTTGTTCCATGGAACTGAACAGAACCTTGAGGAAAGACAGTCACCTGAGGCCACCTCAAACAACCACATGCCTATCTAGAGATTCAGTGAAACTGTGAGGGACTCTTCTGTGAATGCCTTAAAGGTGATTGATGATGGCAACTGGTGGGTATGTATTCACCCGTCTGGACTAGGCTGATGGAAACAGTCTATTTTAATTCACCTTCACACAGCACAAGTCGTTCCTGCTCATGACCTCATCGAGGAAAACGAGAAACATGGTGCTGGTGACTTCCATGTGTATAGGGAGGTTGAGGTGGGAATGTCATTTTGGACTCTCCAGTGCTCAAGCCTCCCTTAAATGCCACTTACATGTCTATATTAACTCATCTATGCAAGCTTGTGTTTTTATGGTTTGTTTTTGACACCTATGTCCCATCTGATTCTTTAAACATCAGGATTAACATCAATATTATGAATAATTTTTAAGCCAAAGCATTGTATAAGTCTGCGTGCTTGTTTTCCTGGATGGTCTGAAGCAAATACCATTATTGTCCTTTTCTCTGAATAAAGTCATCCATTTGTTAAGTCAATGGTCTCTGACTCATATTTTCTTTATTGCCTTCAAGGACTTGGGAAGTTCTGCGAGTATTATTTGTTTCCTTCCTAATATATCTTTGTTTAATTATAGTAAAATGTTATCTTACTCCAGATCCATCCACTTTCTGTAACCACCTATAACATGGTACTGATGTGCAGTACATTGTAATTCTCAACAAATACACCCAAGTCTAAAATTGGTTAGAAAAGTGGCTTTGTTTTGTGTGGTAGTGGCTTAGCTGATGTATTTGGGGTGGAGGGGGGCAGACAAAATATGTGGATGTTCATACAATAATCTAAACAAACAAGGACACCATAAGTGCAACAACTTAGTCTCTACCACACATGACATTCATGGATTTTAAAAAGAGATATTAATAACAACTACCATTTAATATTACCTTTATAAGGATTGTTTATTTATTTGGCTTGAGAGAATAACCATGCTATGGAAGCTGATTCTGCAGAAATTTAGCAGGTTACTTAAAAATAAGATACTATTTTCAGTGACTATTAAACTGATTTTTTTAAATATATATTTTATTGATTTTTTACAGAGAGGAAGGGAGAGGGATAGAGAGTTAGAAACATCGATGAGAGAGAAACATCGATCAGCTGTCTCCTGCACACTCCCTGCTAGGGATGTGCCTGCAACCCAGGTACATGCCCTTGACCGGAATTGAACCTGGGACCCTTCAGTCCGCAGGCCGACGCTCTATCCACTGAGCCAAACCGGTTAGGACTAAACTGATTTTTAAAGAGGTCACTCATTACTTCCAGATCCTCCAGGCTTCTCTTCTCTGGCCAATGTTACAGGGAATCTAACTGATCTCTATGATATAGTTATTCCATACATCACAGCCAGATGCCCAAGGGGCACCCATGATGTGCAAGGGTTATTTTATGTAAAGTTTGTGTTAATTTCAGCCTTTAGTTTCTAAAGAATTACTAGATGAAAGTTACCAATGATAAAAGTTGACACATCTAGAAACCAATTTAAAAAATTAAATATGTAATTAAGGTAGCTCCCTTGAATCTGTGGCAGGAGGCACCTAATATGACTGGATGGATATTGTGGATACTACGGAGTTGTAAGTGTGGAAAGGTAGCACCCTAGAAAGTCTCTCCTTAAAAAAGGCAGCCAGGAGAGCATTAGACACCCACCTAAACTTTGGAAATGTGGAGAAGGCTGTAAGCACACTTTGGACTACCACTGCAAGTCATAGTATAGGGGTTTGAAGACAATTCCACTCCATTTCAAGGGCGGAAAGACCACTTGTTTTAATTATTTCTAGGA